GCTATTTGTTTCGATAAATATGTAGACTAAAGTGTTTAATGGCTTGAATGTATAACAATATTTATTTAAGAGCTTAAAATAAATGTGAGTAGGGCTGCAAGCGAACCAAACGTTCGACGAGCTACTTGTTGTTCGGTTCGATTAAAACTCGTTTGTGATCGTTTAATTAAATAAATAGACAAACTTGAAAAATATTTTAAATACTTGATACTTAAATAAATAAGCTTGAACACTAATGTGTTCGGTTGATTTATGTCCGTGAATAACATCATTTGAATTTCTTGAACAAGCTCGACATTAAACTCGATAAGAAGCTCGATTTGTGTTCGATTCAGAACTCGTGAATAAGCTAGGTAAAAATTCGATTAATATTTAATTATAAAAATATTTTATTTGGCATATATATTCATGATCTTACTTATTTGGTAGCTCAAGAATACTTGTTAGATTTGTTAATGAATGTGTTTGTTAGAAAATTTTAAAAAATTCGCTAAATATGCTCACGAACATAGCTCGTTAAGGATTGTTTGGTATATTTTCATGATCATGCTTGCTAAATATGTTCACGAACAAACTCATTTGTTAAACGAACCGAACATGAATCAAACAATTTTTTTTTTTATACAACATGAATCAAACATGATTTAAACAAACCGAACATGAATAAAACACGATTTAAACGAACCAAACATGAACATGAACAATAAAGCTCAAATCAAACACGAACCAAATATGATTAAGCTAAAAATAAACGAACTCAAACATGAACACTCACATACTCGACTCAGCTCGATTCGTTTGCAGCCCTAAATGTGAGAGGATAATGCATATGCTAAAAATATTGATCAACAACAAATGTAATGTTTAGGTGGGTGATAAGTGTGATTATTAGCCTATAATGCGTCGATATAGCTCTAAATATAAAAATTAATGTTATTGGTTTTACAATGGCTAATAGTTTGATGGAGCTGGCTTGTAATTGAGCAGGCCAAAGTGATGAATAATTTGGGCATATTTTGTTCGATTGAGATGGGTTTCATAGCATATAGTTTGAGCATTAATGCCTAAGAAATGAGATAGAGAGTCCAAATTTTCCATATGAAACTTCGGTTGAAGGCTATCTAGAAGTGCCACAATAGCTTTGGAATTGTTTCCATTAAGTATTATGTCATCAACATAGACTAATAGGTACATTTGTATGCTTTCTTTGTTAAATATAAGGGAAGGATCAACAACACTAAACACAAAACCATGACTTTAAAGAAAACCTAAGAAAGCAACAAAATACTATCAAGGAGCTTGCTTAAGGCTACATAAAGCTTTCTTAAAAAGAAAAACATGATTTGACAATTCATAGTCCTTGAACCCTTTAATTTGTGACATAAACATCATTTCATTAAGAGTGGCATGGAGGAAAGCATTCAAAACATTCAATTGAATGATGGACCATTTAATGGTGATACAATTATAATGAGTATAATGGTTGACATTTTTTTGCAACTATGCTAAAAATCACCTTGTAGTCCAAACCATGCTCCTGCTTGTAACTTTGGGCTATAAGGTGAGCTTTGCGATGAGCAATTATTCCATCAACATTATACTTGGTTTTCAACATCCACTTGCAACCAAAGACATTTGACGTAGAGGGTGGAACCAAACTCCATGTAGCTTGCGATCATAATAGGTCATGAAACTCATGATGCAATGCATTGCGCCAATTGTCATCTTAAACTGTTGCAATTTAACTAATAGAATTGCTGTCGTGAATCATGTAGGACTAATGGGTTTGATTGATGAGGAAGAAACAATGTGATGGAGCTGGTTATTATCATGATACATTCCCAAGTTGTTACAGGAGTTTCATGGAAGTGCAGTGGGAGGGCATGGGGCATTCAGGAGCACAGAAAACCTACAGTTGATTAACAACAGAATTATATTGGGTGGGGATGCGCCGTGATGCAGAGGATTGGGTAGCTAAATGCGATGTGTGCCAAAGGAACAAGGACCTGGCCATATCGCCGGCAAGGTTACTACAACCACTAGCCCTACCAGAGAGGGCATGGAAGGAGGTGACAATGGACTTCATCGAGGGATTGCCACGATTCGAGGGGCATTCATTGATACTAGTAATAGTGGATCGTTTGAGCAAATATGCATACTTCATTCCCTTGAGGCACCCTTATACAACTGTTACTGTGGCTACTGTCTTCATAAATGAAGTGGTGCGCCTGCGTGGAGTTCCAAAAGCCATTGTGACAGACAGAGACAAGGTGTTCCTTGGCCACTTTTGAAGAGAGTTATTTCGATTACAGGGGCATTTCTGAAGAGAAGTACAACCTATCACCCCCAGACAGATGGCCAGACAGAAGTGACCAAAAGCATAGAGACCTATTTGAGATGTTTTGCATCTGACACACCAAAGAGTTGGGCAAGGTGGCTTACTTTGGCAGAGTATTGGTACAATACCTCGTACCATTCAACAGCGAATACCACTCCTTTCAACATTCTCTATGGGAGAGATCCACCCCATCTGATTTATTATGGACAGAGCACCATGCCTGTGTCCAATATAGAGTAGTACTTAAAGAAGAGGGACAAGGTATTATCTGAGCTCAAGGGCTATTTGTTGAGAGCCCAATAGATCATGATGAGAAAGGCTGATGAACATAGGAGAAAAGTGAACTTTGAACCCAGATATATGGTTTACTTAAAACTGAGAAGTTATCCCATGATACTTTGAGCCTTATGAGATATTGGAGCACATTGGAGCAATAGTCTATCGCATAAGACTACCACCCTCATCAGCTTTGCTTCCAATATTTCATGTCTCACAGTTGGTGAAGGCGATAGGAGAGTAGATACCATCATCGGTGATTTCAACTTTGATAGAAGACATGGAGACCATTTTGAAACCTCTGGGAGTAACGGGGGTGCACAGAGGGGAGACCAGGGCACGAGCAGTGCTAATCAAGTGGAAGGATGTGTCCGAGCATGAAGCCACATGGGAGCCATACGAGACAATTAGAAGATAGTTTCCAATATTCCACCTTGAGGACATGGTAGATTTTGAATAGGGGAGAGTTATTACGCGGGAAAAGGCAGCAGGTTTGGTCCCCCTTGTAAGGCCCAACAAAGATTTAATTAAATATACTAGGAGAGGAAATAAGAAAGGAAAGAATTCTAATTTTGAAATATAAAAAGATAGAGAAAATAATTAAGGAAGGGGGCTGTTTTGAGGTGAATTAAGGAATTTATTAAGCGTTGATTCTAAGATTTGTTTTTCATGGTTTGTTTGGAGAGTTTGCTATAGTTTTTCTGGAGTTTTCTTGGGGGTTTCCTTGCGGCATCTAGGTCAAGTGGGAGAGACAATCTACCTCTCTAATAGTATATAATGGTATCTTATTTTGGCGTTGAAGTTTTAATACAAAAAATTAGCCATTGTTTCTCAATTTCTGCTGTTTTTACTATCTTTCCTTGCTGATTTCGTCTTCAATGCGTATCATGGAGCATCAACCTCTCAGATTAACCTTCTATTTGAAGATGATAAGCTATAATGAAACTAAGTTTTGCACTAATATTTTTTGTATTCCTCCTCATAACCTTGATGTGAATCTGTCATCACAATCTGACCAAATCATTAATACACTTCGCACAATCTCGTAATGTGTTAATTTTACATATAATTGAGCTACCTTAGCTATTGTATCGTTATGTCTCATGGGAAAGAAATGCACATACTTCATAAATCTATCAACTACAGCCCAAATGGCATTATAGTCATGCCTTGAACTTAAAAAACCCATCACAAAAATCAATTCCAAAATAAAAATACAAAGAAATTACTAAAGATCTTGTCAAAAGACTTGTAAAGGGCCTGCAAGATCCTTAAATAGCAGAAAGATTGGAAGCAAACAGAAGAAATTACAAGAATGAATCAGTTTATTACCCATATAACGCTTAATACAAAGCACTGGGTTCACATCAGTTTGTGAGCCGAAAGAGCCTGCTCCAGTGCTCACGTCCTACCTGAAAAGGGAGTCTCACAGAATGAAGCTCACAGAGGTATCCATGAGATAAGATTAGAGCTGCAGGTGGGAAAATTGATGATGAATATTAGCCTAATTATTGATAAGAATAATACTGAGTAGTAATTTTTGACTGCTTAGATTTTACCTGCTTACTTGAATCACCTAGTTTAGATAGCAAATACCTGCATGTATGTGTTAATAAATCAAATTTTCTTCAGAGAAAAGAAACATAATGCAGGAGTCTTGATAGGAAGTAGTTATCTCCAAGCAGAAAATCTGCTGTCTTCAGATGAAAAACAACAATTGAGCAATAGCAACTTGAGAAAAACTGTAGAAATCTGAGAGATACGATGGATTTCACTAAAAAATGAAGAAAAACAGAAACGATACAAGTTTCTTCAATTCGAGAGGAAGAAACACTCTCCTAATCTCTAGCCAAGCGACTAGAGCCCAAGCATCCAAGAGATCTCAAATTTTTTATTTTAATTCAAGATCCTCGCCAAACCCTAACCAGAGAGACTAATTAAAGCAAAAGGAACATTACATAATCCCTAAACAACCCCTAATTCAAAATTTTCCTCTCAAACAATGTTTAATTAAGCCTTGGGCCCCACCAAGGCTTCCGCCCCCCCTCTGATGTCTGCCCCTCCCTGTCTGGACCGGCGGGTGTAAACCAGAACCAGTCCAGGTTGGACCGATTCAGGTCTAATAGAGTCGCATGCTGTTATTCTATTTGGGAAAATTTGGATCAATGCAGCCACTTTTTTTTTTTTTTCGCTTCAGTTGGTTTCAAAAGTTTTGGGGATGAAACTATGTTGAAACAAGCACAATTGAATCCCAATCAAAACTGGAAAACAATGGAAACTGAAAACTGAAATAAAAAGTGAAAACCTAGATTTAGTTTAATATAAAAAAGAAATCAAGATAATCTTCCACAAAACATGCATATGTTTAAACACAGTTATATGCCTCTGACATAAAAAATTTTCAAAATGCAATAAAGGAAATGTCAAGGAAAATAAATGAACAATTTTAAGGTATCCAGATAGTATTACTAGCCTTTCCAGTTCTTACAGGATGATAATAATATGAAGACATTCTGTACAAATAATACAACTTCTGCAAGTCTGTAGGGAGAGCTTTTTAAAAGCATTTAATGCTCTAAGGCTGTGATAGCCCTAAACATAGCGATAGATCCTGATATTTTCAGTTTCACTTAGTAAAGAATCACAAAATCCTTCAATTCTTGTTCCTTGACATCACTAGAACAAACTGGAAAATAGAATTAGACAATCAGTAAGCCAACAAAGGAGAATTGGGAGAAGGATAAAGGAAAGACTAACCAGAAAGCAATAAATAGAATGCATGAATGAACCAGTTATTCCTTTTAGAAATCTCGAAAGCTCATTTTGGGATCATCATTCTTTGAGCCACCTCTAGCTCGACCCCTGCCACCTCTTCCTCGACTTCTTCCTCTACCTCTTCCTCGCCTAAAGAACGACTTGCCGTGCTTCATTTCAATGAGAGAATGCAGCAATTCATCACACAATATGCAGCCAGAATACAATGTGGCTCCATCACTTAAAGGTGTTGTCTTCTTATTGAAGTCTACTTCAATGATTAAGGAATCACAATCAGGGCATCTGTTGCTAGTGGTTGAGATTCGATGAGCGCCTTGTGGAAGGGAGACCATGCAATTACAAATGTTGCAGTAGAGTCTCCATTTGGGAGCACTGACTGGATCAAGGATAAGAGTCCCACTGCACTCAGGGCAAGCACATACTCCCTGCGTAATCATGGAGTGTCGACATGTTGGATGAGGGCAAAGAAAGCAGGGCATGCCTGCTCCTTTGCCTAGTTTTCCAGAATTCCCAAGCTTAATGGAACCAAAGAGAGTGGTGATTCCTTCAAATGGGGGGGAATTGTAGCAATAGGGACAGAGAGGAAAGGACTTTCCATCGGAACCAGACATGGAGAAGAG